TACTTCAATAATCCACAGAGTTTCAGTCTAAGGCCTTGCCTTGTAGTGGCCAATATAATCCACCCTCTTCCTAGCACTCATATAAGAAACAGGCATGAGAAAGCACTTTAAGGCAAATTGGAGTGTGATGTGAAAGACTGCACACCAAGAATTTACATGACATTACCCTTATGACTAGTGAGTAGAAACTCAATGACTACATACCAGAGAAACCTAAGTGACAAGGCTGGCCTAGCAATGAACTCCTGGGAAAGGTCCAAGGAACCAAGTCTCAACTTAAATTCTATGGAGGTCCACCTTATATTTCCTCGAAGGATTGGAACAGTGGGACTGCCAGCAATTAGGGAGACGCCCTTTTGGCATCCTCTACCTTGAGTATGCTGCTTCCATGCTATTACTTCGTGTACCTATGCCCCAAGGCACGCATTTCAGTCTTCCCCAAATTCTTCCCCATTCACAGAAAACAAGAAGACCAAAGATGGCGGTGACATTGCAGAGGCAGAGGTCACAACATGTTCAAGTGTAACAGGGAGGAAGCATCACAGTTACCTCAAGTTTCACACGGCCTTTTAACTAAGAAATAAGCCATCCTTACATGGGTTGGGGTAAAGTTTTTCCATGGATCTCAGGCCTCAATTTTACATTGGGTGGAAAATAAAAATGACTCTCATCGTCCAAGGATTAAAAGTAAGTTAACCAATGACAGTGACAAATCAAAAGGTTATGAATGACAACGTACTGAGTAAAAGATAGACACTTTAGGATCTCTTCCCAAACAAATGTGGAATTTGACCTAAGGTGAGCAAACTTCAGGTTGTGTGATGCCACCTTCTCCACGAAACATGTGCCAATAGAAAACTACAGGACCGACAAGTGCCAATAGAAAACTACAGGACCCATTGAGACTAAAGGTTCAAAGTCACCATAGGAACATCTTAGGATAGTGCATACTTCCAATTAGCACGCTAATTCCCTCTGTCACATTGTCAAAAGTCTTTACCCACATTGCAATGAATAAATTACCACATACTTCCAATTAGCATGTTAATTCCCTCTGTCACATTGTCAAATGTCTTTACCCACATTGCAATGAATAAATGACCACACACAAAAGAAATGACTTTACATAGGCCAAGAAAGAGAGAGACCTCGCTGGCACTGCCAGTTAGCAGGCCCCCTCCATCCTGCAACATTGACAAATGGTAAAGAGTTCTGATGAGTACTGAGGCCTGAGTCCTGGCAGCCTCCATGCGCAGTGTCTGAGTTGGCCAGAACAGAAAGTTGCTCAGGAGAAGGAAAAGCCTGAAGTCCTGGGTTGCCTCTTGCTTCACAGCACTGTTGATAAGGTCGGGTTTCCAGAGAGATTCCGCAGACACCCCTGAGGAAGCTTGCTGGCCCTGGGAAAGAACACAAACATTTAAATGATATTGTAGCAAACTCTAAAGAGCTTGTACAGGGGTAGGGGAGCAGTGGGGAGGGGGTTAAACCGAGTGCCCTGATGTTCTTCTCCAACATGTGGAGTCAGGAAATGGGATACTAGTTCCTTGGGCACCTCTTTTGGACTCAGGTACTGAAGACTGTGAATGAGACATGATGTGTGCTCCCAGTAACATCTGCAAAGCAAAGAAATGGCCAGGAAGCAAGAAAGGGTGAAGATTTGAAGGCATACTGACTTATGCATTACTTTGATTGTTACCATCTGTCTCCAAGTCTACTCACAAATAAAAGCCCTCCCATCCATGGTGGAGGCAGACGGACAGACTACCATTCTCCAACAACCCCTTGGCCCACAGGTCCCAAGCCTTCCCTTTTGCATAGATAAAGATGGCTTTCTATTACCTTCAGATCCATTTTTGAACCAGAAGTTAAAAGGCATCTGAGCAACATCCCACATTCCCTCCATTCCTGGAGTTGACTTTTGACCATCCTCTCGAGTTCATCCTGCTATTGCCTGTTAGTGCAAAAGATTCCAAATAGGATCCAAACATTAAAACTTTGAAGATAAAATGACAAGATCTTGTTTTTGGAAACCATTACATTAAAATAAATTCAAGCTTGCTGTAATGGGACACTGACTGTGAGCAGAGGAACAGCTCTAATTCCTGGAAAAAGATGTCAATATCTAGGAGGGTCTCAATCATGAAGTTAATAAGCAGCACCCATGGACAGACCTTAACACCAATGGCAGTTCCTTTCCTGGAGACCCAGGACATTGGCTTCCACACCTTCCTAAATGATGGTACAGGTGAGACCAGATTGGTGATGCCCTTTGCCCAACACCTGTCACCTCACACGAGAGACGGTTGTTCTCTCCTGGCTGGATGCTCTGGACAGTTAGTTCCAGTTCCACACTAGTCATGGTACAGGCTCCCATGCTTACCAGTCCCAGACTTTTCCACCACAGGTCCTGAAGGAGATGGCAATTGTACAGATCTGCAAGACTAGAACCACTGGGGAGAAACACATGGCAACTCATAAGGTAGGTAGGGGGCTGGAGCACGTGTCCTATTATCCTTATGAACAAGAGCTGCTGAAAATACCTAGTGGGGACTGAGTACACAATTATTCAGCCCAAGCCAGGTAGGCCAAATTCACGAAAGGCAACGTAACACAGAGATTGCAGGAACTGTGCCAAACACCAGGTAAGAATGCCTTTCAGAGGCTCCCCTACTCCCTTCAAAGGGAACCACAGGTCATGGGGTAATCAGTCAATAGCAGTAGCCCATTCCACCCAATTGTTGTCCTTCCCAGGCTAGGCCTTGACCACTCATTTCTGTTTACCTTGCGGGCATATAAAAAATACATGAATCATTTTTTTTCTATGGAAGAACACCTGGAAACGATACCAATGCTACATTTAAAGAAAAACAGTATATTAAATACACCATTGTGCTTTAGAAGCAAAACTGTCAACGTCACCTGCAATTGGCATTTAATCCCAGATTACTGAAAGCACTCAATCTGTGACTTTCTTCATTCATAAATGGGAAATTCCCCATTATGTTTAAAGGAAACTTATGCAAAAGCCTCAGCACACAATTGGATTAAATAACATGATATTGAGCAGGCAATTCATGTGGGAAATGAAATTCCCAACAATGTGCAGAGGTGACAGGCGACCAGTACTTCCGGACATTCACTTATGTAAAACAAGTGGCAGCTTAGTCCATATGTGAGGTTTGATCTAGAAAATGCCACAAAGCTTGCTTCATTTGGGTACATTGATGAAATAAGATAACACAAGGACTAAAATCTCAAACAATTCAGAGATATTAAAACAATTTGATGGTGAAATCAAGTCAAACTTCAGGTAGCCAGCAACGTGAGGCCGGAACTGCCGTAAAGCAAGACGCACAAAACCCACGAAAACATTATTTTTCTTATTTGTGCATTTAAAAGAACGAAAATGTGTTTACCCATGTTTCGGATGAGGGTCAGGACCGCAGTTAATTTAATACAATGCTAAAAAACACATTTATCCAAAGTAAAACCGAATCCTATAAAACAGTCGCGAAAGATGGTTAAGGGCATTCACTGTCATAAAATATCAAGCACGCGGCCCATTGATGACGTTCTGCATTTACCAACCCACCCGGGCCCACAACATTTTCTTTAAAGTACTTTTATGGATCCGCTGAGAAGGGTACAAGAACAGAAACATAAAGTACATTTGTAGAGAGATAACAACACTACCATATTTTTAATTATATCACGGAAGTTATTACGATAGAAAACAAAAGGCAATCAATCATTCAGACATTAATTTACTCTCTATCAACACAAAACCTTCTAAAGCCCCTTATGAAGAGTCCTGGGACCAAAAGTCAATTGAATGAGACAAGAGGAGGAACAGGTAAAAATAAATGCAAAACCTGGTCCAATTTATCTGATAAAAAGTGGCTGATTGGCAGCCATATCACGTGATTTAAAACGTCACCTGCTAAGCCAGATGAATCACTTCACAATATGCACATTGAAAATACCCTCATTTGAGAAATATTTATGAAACAAAGCCAAAAGAAATTTAACCAAATTTAAATGATTGCTATGTCATGAAAAAAACGCAATTCAGTATATCATAAACTAAAACAATAAATAGGATCCTTGGGGGCTTCATTCCCTTCAGGGACTTAAAGGTATAAGCTCCTGCCAACCCGAGTGCTCTTTTCCATATCCTTAAAGTGTCAAACCACCAAGCATTTTAAGGGGTGCTTTTGGCTGAATACAGTGATATTAAATACACAAGTGCATTATACAAAAGTGTAAAACAGAGTTCAAAGACCACAGCCAGGCGATTCCCTGGGTTTAGTGAACAAGCTGGAAGTCCATTGCCCCATTTCACGTAGAAATATTCAGAACGCTTTTTTTTTCTCTTGTGAACACAACATATGAAGGAGACGAATTCTGAACTTGAACCATAACAGATTACATTAAACATATAATCATGTTAAATGAGAGACTAAACTGGCCACAAAGAAAGCTAACTGGGATCGGCTGTCATAACCCCACCTCAGGAGGTAACTTCCCCCCTTGTCACCTCTAAAGGAAAAGAAATATGATAACTGAATGGCGAAAGGTGGCAAAATAAAAACTTTAAAGATATAAGTGGTGATAATATCTACCCAACGATGGTAAAACATAAAGGCAAAGTCAGGTGCCCGGTGACCAGCGGCCACCGTTCGGGGTTGGACCGACAGCGGCTCATCGATCACATCAGCGTTTCCTCATTTTTAACTTGAAAACATCACAAAACCTTAGGATCCAGAGGGAGGAGGGGTGCCCATGAACAACATTTAAACAAACAAAATGATGTTTCCAGACTCATCACGTTGTTCCATGAAGCACAACCCTGGGCCGGACGTGACTAGGGAGCTTCCCTGTGAACAATCCATTGGCCCATCGCACACATCCCTTAAAGATGTCACAACACATCATGAACCCGATTCGATCAGGATCACCACAAAACTCAGTAATTAAGAAATAAAACCAAGTAAACTTACATTTTCTGATCCCGGAAGGCGGGTGCCGCCATATTCCCACATATCCTCGGGAAACTGTCCACGGAAGCCCCACAGGACAATCCAGACTTTAACTGTATCTACCTGGTCACGTGGTACGGATGCCTGGACACCCAGTCTCAGGCACCGCCTACAAACAACGTCATTGGAGGGTCTGAAGTGATTGACAAGGCACCCAACATTGAGCTCCAGGTTTACAAGGGAAAACTCAACCAATACCTAAAGGCCCAGCTAAATAACGCAGTGTGACAGAGAGAAATGGTTTTTAAGATCTTCACCACAAAAAAGTAGTATGTGAAGTAAAGGATATTTCGATTAATTTAATTTAATTATTCTACAACATGTAATACATCAAATCATCACATTTTGCCACATAAATATATACATTTATTATATCTGAGTTTTTTTTATAAAAAGGAGAGAACCATTTTCCCCTAGAGGTAACTTATCGTCTGCAGTCTTGCAGCTCATTTAGAAGCTCAAAAAATGTTTATTAGTGACCTTTTCTAGATATCGCGGTGGGGGATAAGACTTTGGCAAAGATCCAGAGGGGCAGGGACTGGTTCTACACTTTGTCCAGCAATCAGTGAAGGGATGAATCTGGGAACTTAAGTAGCATGGGATGTGAAATGAAGGAAGAACCAGGCCGTTGGTGTGAATCCCACGCTCAGGAATTCCCATCTCATTGCTGACCTGGTGCTGAGGCTTTTCCCTCTGGCTGCACTCTGCAGCTGGAAACATGGCTGGCCTCTCCTGATGCCAGGACACTGCCCAGGTCCTGTCTCTCAGTGCACTTGTGTCTCCACAGTCTATGCTCACCGGTCACTCTGCTCCCATCCATACTTCATCTCATCCTCATAGGCTGTCCTGAAAAAATTATCTATGTCTTCTTATCCACCTTGCACCACAGAGTGTGCTTAAGTATATGGGTTCCACGTAGGCTGCTTGCATTCATGTCACAGCTCTTCCTCCTACCACCTGTATATTTTTCAGGGTTGTCTTTTTCTGTTTCCTTGTCAGTAAAATGATGGTACAGTCTCTCAGTCTGTTGAAGCTGTTTTAAAAAAATATCTTACACTGGATAATTCAGAAAAGACAGAAGTTTATTGCTCACACAGTTCTGGAGGCTGCGAAGTCCAAGAGCAAGGCACCAGCAGGTTTGCTGTCTCATGAGGGCCTCTTCCTTCTTCATGACAGCCTTTGTGTGTCCTCACATATTGTAAGGATAAAGAAGGCTCCCACAAGCCTCTTTTATAAGGCAGGCAACTAGTCTCATTCATGAAGGGAGAGCCTCATCACCTAATCACCTCCCAAAGGCCCTACCTATAATACCTTCACTGTGGGGACTAACTTGCATCATAAAACTTGTGGGGGTACACCAACATTGAAATCACTGTAGAGACCAATAAGGATTATGTTTTTGGACTACAATGACATTCAGCAACCGGAATAAATCCTGAAAGATAGTAAACGTTCCTGTAAAGTTAGCTATGATTGTTTTTGTAACATTTTGCTACATGTCTCTGGTCAAATATCATGTCTTTCCTCAACTTGTTCTGTGCCGGTCCAGTCTGTATTAATCTCCTTTTTCTAATTCCTTTTAGCCGAAACATTCATAACACACAACACACCTCCTACAACACATTGTCCACTTTGCCAATAGTTTGCATCTAAACTTTGTCACTTTCATCTGTGCTAATATCTCTGTATTAATCAACATGTTAAGTCTGATCCTAATTCTTCATGTATGCGTCTCATCTCCTAAGTTTACTACAAGTTTCCCTCTGGGCCACTGTTATGGTTGTGATATTTGTCTCCTCCAATACTCATTTTGGAATTTAGCCCCGAAAGGTGGAGTATTAGGGGAATATTTAAGTTCTGTTGGATCATGAGGCCCAGCCCTCATGAGTGGGTCGATCCCCTCATGAAAGGGGAACTGGTGGCTTCATATAAAGTAAAAGAGAGCCTGCACTAGCACATGGCATGCTCAGTCCCCTGGATGTATTGTACTCTGTGCAGCCTTCGGAATCTGCTGAGAGTACTCAACAGGAAAGGTCTCTCAGCAGATGCAGCCCCTTAACCTTGGACTTCCCAGTCTCCACAACTGCAAGAAAGAAATTTCTTTTCTTTCTACATTACCCAGTTTCAGGGGCTCTGTTATGAGCAACAGAAAAGAGACTCATACTGGCACCTGACCAGCTTATTCCTTTCTGATATAATTTAGCTCAATGCAGAGCAGTTTTCTTCTGGCGATTCCATACAAACATAAGCAGGTACTGAAATAGAAGCTTTCATTGGGCCATCACAAGAAATATCTTCCCCTGAAGAATTCACAAGGAACCTGTTCACTCATTGGTTTTGCTAGATCCTGCAGAATGTGGGTGGGCCCTTGTAGCACAGTTAGTACTCCTGTGCCCAAGCGAATAGGGTGTGTGGAGTGGCTTATGTCTCCCTCCCCCATGTTTCTTGCAGTCAGTGAGCTCCCAAGTGGCTGTAGAGTTTTTCTACGCTCACAATCCCAAAAGCTGCTGCCACTGGTGAACTGGGAGCTTCACGAGGGTGAAGGAGGAAGCGTCTGGTTCCTTCAGGTCACTTCCCCTCAACACAGACCTGAGCCCACACAGCAGTTGCCATATTGCTTTTCCACTCACCATACACCTTAATCCTTCCCAGGGGACCTCAGCCCTTCAGTTTTGGTCTCACTGGTTCTCACATAAAAATTTCCCAACTCCAGCCCAGCTTGCAGAAACCGAAGGATACCTGCGTGACTCCATAATCTGGACATTCTGGGTGGGCTGCCTTCAGGAGAGAGGGACAGAGATGACCAAGTACTAGCTTTCTCCTACTCAGACCCTTTCCCTCCCCTTCCACTGCCCCAGTGAATGCTGCTGAGTGACAATGAAGCAGAGCTGATTGGAACGGTTTCCCTCTCTGTTGGTGCAACCACCACACCAGGCCTTCCACAGAGAGTGGGGCTCAAACCTTCCCAGACTCCCCTTCCCATCCCCTACTGTTATGGCCCAACCAGGTTCATTGCCTGCTGCCCAAGAAGAAGCCAATATACTGAGTCGGCAGGTTTTATGGCAGAGAAAGTGTCTTTATTCTAGATAGCACTAAGTGGGGACATGGGAGAAATCTCAAATTCGCCTCCCCAAGATTTTGCAGACACGATTTTTAACAAAAGTTTGGCAGGCATGGGATTCGGCAATTAGTTTCGTTCATTGAGGCAAAATCATAGGGATGTAGAAATCAATGTCTTGTGTTGTTTCAGCCCCTGGAGTCACAATTCCACTTGAGTCAGTTTCTTGGTATGGGCTGCGGGTCCTGGTGAGTCAGTCAATCAACTGGAATGCAGGGCCTGGAAGATATCTTCAAAACTACCTTTAGGTTACGAAAAGGTGATATTGTCTACGGAGAAAGTTAAGAATCTTTATGACCACCAGATGCATGGCTCCAAAGTGGCAATTAGAGAGGTGTAAACAGAGGGACAGCAACTAATTTTTATCATTATTCTTGGCGAGGCATTTACCACAATTCTTGGCTTGTACCCCACATTGACGGGCTTTTTCACTACCTGCAGCTAGTGAGAGAGACAACAGCCACAACTGCCAGGTATCCCCTGGGAATTGGGCTCAGACCTTCCCTGTAGAGGTCCTGCAGCAGACTGAGGGGTGCTCAGACTGTGAGCTCCCTGCCTGCTGGCCCTCCTTGGTGCCAGTTGCCCTGCAACTGCATCACTGTGGTACATGACCCGAGGCAGAGGGACATCAAGCCTAATTGGGCACCCTGTGGGCAATTTGGAACCAGCAGGCTTGTCCCTGGAATAGTCAGGGATTGATCTTTGGGGACCTGGGGACAGGCCCACAGACCAGATCCCATACCCCCATGTATGAATCACATTTCTCAGGGGTAAGCAGGAAAGATTTGTGATTGGGTGAGGCCACTACAGCCCTTCCCTGTGGCTTAGACTGAAAGCTGGGAGCAGACCTTTGACCCCAGCTGAAACAGATACTTGCCAGATTTTGTGGATCCTGAGGGCAAGCTCTCCCAACCCAGCCTGCCCAGCCACACTCCCCTACACACCTCTGCTGTGGCAGAGAATAAGGACTCAGCTGAAGTTCCAGGGCCCCAACTGGAAGCACCTGGGGCAATCAAGTGCTTCTCCAGAGAGACTAGGGCTGGTCACAGAATCTAAACACTACATTGCAGCTTGTTCCTTCTGGTAAGGGTCACCTATTGTCAGGGAGGTCTATTTGCACAGGCCTTTACAGGATTTACTGACTCAACACATAGAGTGTGGTTGGTTCTCACCCACAAGGACCACCCACTGTCTCAGAGATTAAACTGGGTATGCCATTATCTAATAAAAAGAAAATGGAAAAATAAGCAAAAATTGCCCCAGATGAGAAGGAATCACTGAAAGATATCCACATAAATAAGAAATCATGGTAGAAAGACAGCCCCAAAAGAATAAAATAACTCTCTACCAATTGATGTTCACATCAGTGGACATTAGATTGGATAAAGCTCCTATCTCAAGTACAGACTTTATTCCTACATGTTGGCTCCTACCTTTTTCTGAGTTCCTGCTCTAAGTACTGGCTCATATTTCATATACAGAGAGCAGACAGTAGTAGATTGACAACAAAGGCCACAGCAATTCCTCCCATCCTTGGAGGCCAAGTCCTTTGCACTGTGACCTTGCCACTCCTTCCTTTAAGAGGTGGAGTCTATTGCCCATCCCCATAAATCTCGGCTGGCCTTTGATTTCTTTTGACCTATGATACAGGAGACATCGTGGGAGATCTGAGCCTATGCAAGAATTCTCTGAGGCTTTCACTCTTGTTCTCTTTAAACCCAGGTCAAGATGGCAGGGAGCCTAAATTTCCTGCGAGCCTGAAAATCATAGAGGCCCCTGAGCCATATGGCAACCAGAGTTCAAGGTGAGGCCAGACGGAATTTGTTTTTCTTTTTTGTTTTTGTTTTTTCCAAAGCTACCCTGCCTGGCAAACACTGACTTGTACGTGACTCTCACACACTTGCCCAGTGGCTCCGGACCCTGGCACTCTAGGGTCCTGCATTGCTGG